AAACACATTTTCTCCCTTTTAAAAGCGACACCATTATTTTTTTGCATGAGCTTTTGGGAATTACCGTTCACTTCCTCAGAAGCAGTCGTTCCCCTGATAAACCCCAGGCCTGTTTTTGTTATTTGGGTGGCATTTTTCTTAAGGCATATAAATAATCTCTCAGTGGCCGGGTTGGCTGGGTGATTTGGGGAGTGGCTGTCAAAAAAATTTTTTTTTAAAAATTGAGCTTTTCCTATCTCGGCTCTTTCCGATTCTCAGCACCCAAATTGTGAGTCAGAGAGTCTGGTGGAGGTGAGGCTTGTGAGGTGTCGTAGCCGCTTCAGAAAGTCCGAATAATGTAGAAAACAAGGAACATTCAGCGTCTGGCAGCCCCCATTGGAGACCCATTGCTTTCAGGTTTTGGCAGCCAACAAGAGCTGTTAAGGGCTACAAAGAGCCGTCTTGTATTGAACTCGATGCGGTTCATTCAGAGACCGAAAGAAAACCCCCGAAATGCACAGTTACAAGATGGGGGCACAGAATAAGAAGGATGCTGACAAAGCGGAACAAGTGTAGAGAAGGGCAGCAGGGATGATGGGGTGGGGCTGGAAACCAAGCCCTGTTTGGTGTTGCTGAAACATAGACGCCCGATGGCAGGGGATTGTTGAGGGTGATGGTTCAGTCAATCTGGAGAGCAGGAGGTTGGGGGAATTCAGTCCAGTTGCACCCAGGACATCTCTCCTCGCCGCTTTGGAGCCCCCTGAGCATCTGGAAACGGCAGCGATTTGACAAATGAGGCGTGGGTGTGTATTTTGATGGACTGCACAGACTCTGGGCCCTGTGCCAGGCCCGTCTCTGCCCAGCTCATTATGCGGCGCCTCTGTTTTTCTGTGTCCTTCAGCCGGTCATAGCGATGACCCTTCCACGTTTCTCCGCCACGGCTGGGAAGGAACAGGGGCTGGGAGCCAACAAGAGACGCGATAAGGGAGCTTCGGGTGTCTCTTGAACAGTGCGATCCTGAGGCATGCACGTCTGAATCAGATGGAAGCCCAGTGGGTCTGCGTGGGACATACCCTTGGCCTCTATAGGGATGGGACTGCGGGCCAAATCATTCACTGAAGTGCTGTTTCTGCGCTTTCTTTCTTTCTTTCTTTCTTTCTTTCTTTCTTTCTTTCTTTCTTTCTTTCTTTCTTTCTTTCTTTCTTTCTCTTTCCCTCCCTTCCTCCTATCCATGAGCTCCTTCCTTCCTTCCTTCC